AACGCATTACAAGTAACGCAAGTTACGTAATCAGATTACTTTTTTCAAGTAACTAGTAAAGTAACGCATTACTTTTTAATTTACAAGAGAATATCTGAGTTACTTTTTCAAATAAGTAACGCAAGTTACTTGTTTTTTTTCCAATTTATTGATTGACAGCTCTCCTGTCCCCATGCTGAGAGAAATCAGATGTTACTGTAGTTCTAAAATAAATATGAATATGCATTAATTCATCTCACTCACAAAAAAAACACACAGATTCAGTATTCCTCAAAATGAATAAAAATAATGCAACTCAGAATATGACGAAAGCCTGCAATAATTAAATGTTAAACAACACAAATATCCTTTATGTATTTAATCCTATTCTATTTGCTTCTGACCTTCGATGATCCAGTTCAAGCGTACGAATAAGCACAAATTACTCTAGACAAACATTTGTGTGTCTTTGTTTATTGCTGAAGTGTGTTGAAATGTCTTCTTCTGTATAAAAATAGAACTTTTTATTTTAAAAGCAAACACGCAAGCCCTGTCCAGATTTAAAAAGTAACGTAAAAGTAACCCAACGCATTACTTTCCATAAAAAGTAACTAAGTAACGTAATTACTTACTTTTTATGGAGTAACGCAACATTGTAATGCATTACTTTTAAAAGTAACTTTCCCCAACACTGCTCATAATGCAAAGATTATGTGAACGTTACTTTTGAATGTTCTCTGATACAAGTAGCAACATTTAAAACACATTCCACGAGCATCCAACTAAAACGTTTCAGAATTAAAATGTGCCATGAATAGCGTTTTTGTGTTAATAACGTTGTGCAAACTTTAACTAAACAAATTTTAACGCCAACTCATTTAGGTTATAAAAACGTTGTGGGAACATTGATTTGAAACATTCCTAAAACATTGAAATGTCCAGTTTTCTTGAGCAGGTTGTTCTAGGATGTTTTCTTAACATTCTGAGAAGTTATAAGAACGTTCCTGAAACATTATTTTATGACCGGTTTATCCTAATATCTACATAACTTGAACGTTTAAAAGGCGCTGGTGAAAGTCGTGAGGACTTCTGATCAGCTGAAGATTCCTCTGGATCCCTGACATTAATCACCGCGTCGTTTATGAGTGATTATGTAACGAGAGCTGGATTATTGTCACTTTTAATGTAGAGGAATCTATTTGTGGATGTGCTCAGTTTCAGGAGGCTTGGCATCGCCGCATCTTCTGGAGTTTTCCGCTCCTTCAGTTCAGGCTCTGAGCCGCTTGCAGCTACGTGTTTTCAAACACGTATCACGAACACGCCCCCCGCCTGTCATTGGTCAGTCCAACGGATAGCCCCGCCCCCAGGCTAAGATGATTGGTCGAGTCAGACGTTGCTCAACCAAATATTCTGAAAGCGATGTTTGTTGTATTAAAATATATAAAAACACCAAGATGGTTATGACACATTAAAGGCATCGTTGCACCCATTGGCCTCCTGGTAAAGCTCCCGTAATTTGATTGGCCCAAACCTCATTTACATGAATAATCACGACAACACATCCCAAGGTTGCCCAGTTGCCAGATCTTGAGTGATTTTGCTGTTTATTTCTGTGAAGCTGCTTTGGAACAATCTGTATTGTGTGAAGTGCTGTAGAGATAAATCTGACTTATTTCAGCTTATATGTATCACACCATAGAAGGGTCTTAACAGGCCACTCAGTTTCAAATATATACACCAACATCTTTCTTGGAAATTAAAAATAAGGTGTTTCCTTTGAAAAGGCACACGTAAAAATACGAATTGGCATACATTAATTATAAAGTCTAGTTTCAAAAAGATACAATTTTTATACAATTTGAAAATTCAATCCTAAACACTTTGCACTAAACAGTTCCCAAATAAGTGGATTATTGTTTCTTCAAATTGATGAAAAAAGGAGCAACTGCGGTGAAATACTGTTATTAAAATGTACAAGTCTATAAATTACTGGGCAACAATTATTAATTATTTCTTAAACAGCTTTACTGGACAGAAATGTTTGTTGAAGAAGCCACAAATCTTGATAGTTCACCTAAAATGCTCCTTGTGTTGTCTTTCACTCAACTCTCATGTGACTTTCTCTCTTCTCTAAATCATAAAAGAACATATTTTGTCAATTTTTCTTTTTTCTCAGCGGGGTTCAGTGTTATTTGGATCACAACATTCTTCAGCGTATCTTCTTTTGTGTCTCAAAGTATAAAGAAAGTCTGATGTAAGTGATAATTTTTAGGTACATTATTGTTTTCAAGAAGTCAGATGAACAGAACTCATGTTTCACGAGATATTTAACATCAGCTTAAAACAATAGATCCAACCTGAGTATTTTATATTGTATCACAAATATTGATTAGACCTGCTCGTTTTGTCTGAGAGGCATATGCAATGTTGTATGTTTTGGATATTTCACACACACACACACACACACACACACACACACACACA